GTTAGTTCATGGAGGTGTGTCAGCAGGTTTCCAGAATGAAATATAAAATTAATTAAATCGTGGAATTTTAAGAAACACTCGGAGATATCTACGTACCTTTCTCGTTTGCTTCGATTAATCTTACAAGTATAATTGTGTATGAGCAGGTTTCCAGAATGAAATATAAAATTAATTAAGGTGAAGCGAAACGCCCTTCAAATCAGTCGATTCGAATACAACACTTTTTTTTAAGGGTATTAGACCAAACTGTCCGAAACTGACACATCACTCCCGATCATCTAAGAATTGCCATGCCACATACAAAATTTGGATTTAAAAAAAAAATGTTCAACAGCCCAGATCAGAACCAAAATGCCGTCGAGCTCTTATATTTCGATCAATATATAATTATCGAAGGCTCTGATATGAGAATCGAAAGGGTCAAGACAATTTTTAGGACAATTTAGAACACTCTGGTAATCGATAAACTCGTATTTGAATGGGATAAGGGCAAAAAAAGTGTTGTATGCGTTTCTATGCTAAAACGATGGGAATACGAGGTCTTGGGGTGAAAATTTAATTGACCTTGAAATCACAGATGTCGCAGGGAGTCCCTCTGCAGTCAATTAGGGCTCCAGAAAGCATGAATCCAGAGGATTTCTGGAGTTTTACTTCGATTTCTTTATAATTTTCGTACGAAAACGACAGGTGGAGTATGCCATTTGGGACAATACCCAATAGAATTAGACACAGCTGTCAATATAAAAACGAACGTCGGCAACGTAGGCATTTAGAAAAATCTTCTATATCAACGTTAATCAAGTTCCTCGACGTGTTTCACTTCACCTTAAATCGTGGAATTTTAAGAAACACTCGGAGATGTCTACGTGTCTTTCCCATTTGCTTTGATTAATCTTACAAATATAATTGTGCGGGTGGGTAGAGAAAATGGAACAATTGACGGGGAAGGATCGACTTGTTTCCGAAGTAATAAAAAAAACTCAGAAGATGCGGTATACTTCGCGTGAATGTAATTCCTTCAATGATATTACCATCGGATGGCATACTTTTAAACCTCATTGACTGATATATTTATGAACATAAATTAATTCCTTACGTTGCACTTAAAGTCCTAAAAAAAGAGACACATGTCTCGGCACATCCGCGTTGGAAAATGTCCCAGAGGTCGTCCATAAGCGGTTCTTCCGCTGTCCTTCCCTACAGCGAGTTCAAGGACGTACAATACTCCGGTCCTACGCGAAATAATAATAATTAACATACACATAACCCCAGAATCTACAAAAGTACCGCATCGCCATACAAGTAACACAGATTTTAACCCCCTACCAACCTATTATATCGAGGTACAAGAGCTTATACAATGATCACTCGAGCAGTCTCGTGTAGAAACATTGCTACGTAAAGTCAAACGGTAGATTCATCCAGATACTCGGTAGAGTTTCGCGCCAAATACATTTAAAAGCCTACACAAACTGCACCGAATACTTAACGCCAAAATTCGGCACCTCGATGCGATAAATATTAATATCTCAATTACTAGAACTTATCATGGATCCACGTTTGGCATAATGAAAGTACGTTTCGTTTCGTAGAGCCAGTAATTTTGAGATATAAATGAATTCTTTGGGCACTCCTTAAAAAGTCGAATAAAAAGAGACACATCCACGTGGCGATTCCGCCCGGGAGGATTCCCGGAGGTCGTCCATAAGCGGTTCTTCCGCCGTCCTTCCCGACTGCCGTTGCGAGCCAAGGGCGTGCCCGCTGCGACCCTAAGAGAAATAACAATAATTAATGCCGCCATAAGGGAAGAGGGGTCGAAGTAAATCGTGAGAGAGAGAGAGAGAGAGAGAGAGTCTCGCTCCTCCGGCGCGGTGTTCAGGTCGGGCAAAGCCGCGGGCCCCGGCGTGCGCGTGATTAAACGTGAAATTTTTCAACGACGCCAAATGAATGGAATGCCAGCCCACGCCGGGAGCCCCCGTAGGGCGGCCTGGAGGAAGCCCGAGTGCACGTACGTGCGAGCGCACGTGACGTGTGTGTGCTGCCCGCGTGCGCGCGCGCCCTTTCCCCCCACCCTTCCCGTTATCGAGCCCATACGAACTCGCGAGTCCGCGTGCCGTTACCTCTTCTACAGGGTGTCTCGAAACTCTCCTCCGGAACCTAATTCGGTAGAACGGTATTCCCATACTTAAGGTGAAGTGAAAGTGGCTTCGAAGAGGTTTTGTTTATAAAACTTTTCTCCCAACTCCATTTACCGAATAGATTGAAACTGTGCAACGTGAATAGAGAGACTATAAGGAAGGTCCTGAAACTCATGAAATTTCAATTCTTTTCAAATTTGTTTATAGGATTTGAAGAATAGTTTATAAAAAATGACATTTCGCGGGTTTCAGGACCTACCTTAGGGTCTCGATATTCACGTTTTAAAGTATGAAACTATTTGAGAGTCCCAGTTCGAAGAAAAGTTTTATGAACGATTGAGCTTTCGGATGCCACTTTCACATCCCCTTAAGGTGAAGTGAAACCCCACCTCAAATCAGTCGATTCGAATACAACACTTTTTTTTAAGGCTATTAGACCAAAGTGTCGAAACTTTGACACGTGACTCGTGAACATCTAACAATTGTCCTGACACATTCAAAATTTGGATTTTTTAAAAGAAGTTTTTAATTTAGACTAGACCAGAACCAAAATGGCGTCAAGCTCTCATATTTCGATCAATATACAATTATTGAAGGCTCTGATATGAGAAACGAAAGGGTCAGGACAATTTTACGACAATTTAGAACACTCTGGCAATCGATAAACTCGCCTTTGAACGAGATAAAGGCAAAAAAATGTCTTATGCGCTTTTATGCTAAAACGATGGAAATACGAGGTCTCGGAGTAAAAATTTAATTGACCTGGAAATCACAAATGGCGCAGGGGGTCCCTCAGCAGTCAATTAGGGCCCCAGAAAGCATGAATCCAGAGGATTTCTGGAGTTTTACTTCGATTTCTTTATAATTATTGTACGAAAACGGCAGGTGGAGTGTGCCATTTAGTACAATACCCAATATAATTCGACACAGCTGTCAATATAAAAACGAACGTCGGCAACGTAGGTATTTAGAAAAATCTTATTTATCGACGTCGATCAAGTTCCTCGACGTGTTTCACTTCACCTTAAGTAATTTCGTGTGTTTCGAGAGTTTTTTCATGTATATTACGTAAAGGTAGTTCGAAAACCTTCGAAAACCAGTAAATTACGTTTCCAATATGAAAGATGCCGCAGATGCCCGATATATGTCGCCGCTAGGTTATAAACGTCATTTAGTGCAGGTGTAAACACGTAAAAAGTTTTATGGAATAATTAATTCGGCGTTTGTGTTCAACATTCTTTCGACTTAACCCAGTTTAATATCACATTATTAATTGGATTTATTATTTTCTATTTAGAAATAGAAGGGTGTAATTAACTTCGCGCTCATGGACAAAACTAGGAAGGTATTATACGTTGTAATATACGCGGAGAGAAACACGTATATTACATGACGTATTATACCTACCCAACCCTGGGTATTCCTAATAAGGACTGTAACAAATATTCGGTTTCGTTTTCGCCTCCCGCGAAAGTTTCGCATGATTCCGAATGATTTGAACTTTTGCATCCGCTATCGTCGGACGATTTTTCTAAAACTTTACGTGAATATTTTTGCTGACCATAAAACGTAATATGATAGACATGGAGAATAAGGCATTTATAGTGTGAGTCACGTGACGCGGAAGACGCCGTTTTCTTTTTCAGGCGGTAGGGAGAACCCCTCACATGCGAGTCATTGTAATATATGTACTCGTTAGCTCGCGGGTCAAAATGTAATTTGGTAAGCGTTCAAGACTCTTGATAAGAAGAGTATTTGAGTCGAATGCGATTTTTGGGATTGTAAAACAATGGGATTTTGACGTTTAGGTGATGACGTCTGGTAGCACCTTAAAGCATTTGCCAAAAATGATGAATAACTATGAAGTTAAATCGGTGATTAAAGGAGGATCGTTTGCTGAGTAAGGAAAGTAATTCAAGCGTGAGTCATATCTTAATAAAAGCGTCATCTTGTTTTTAGATTACAAATAGGGAGGGGAAAAAATTATTAACTAATTAACTCCGTTGAATTAAATCGAAATGGGGATAAGAAATTAAAATTACTTATTTGGAACGGAAGGAGAAATACCAAGGATGGACCCTCTCCAATAAAAACCACTGTCCCATACGTTGTGTTTTCCGGAAAAGGAGAAAAAGGAAGCGAGCTATATGGCCGAAATTTTTCCCTCACCCAGTATAGCGCGGTAAGTTCGTGTGGGTCGGGAAGAAACAAACATGGCGGCTGCATCGTATCGTAACGATATGCGCCCACGCGCGCGCGGGAGAGTAGCGTAGGATTCTTCCCCTCCCGCCCCCGAAGGCGCCGGCGTATTCTTTTAGCCCGGCCACCTCCGGCACCTCGGGCACCTCCGCCTCCGCCGCCGCCACCACCGCCGCCGCCTCCGAGGTCCGATTCCCCAACCCGCGATCCGTCAACCCACGCCTTGTTAATGAAAACATCTTTTGTCAATGAACTGACGTCAGCGAGCGCGCCGATTGGTCGGCCGGGCGGGCCACGTGACCGCCGACCAATGGCGGCGTGGCGGCAGCTCCGCCGCTCGTAAGATCCATGCGCCATTTGCCCATTCTCTAGGGAAGGACGCCGGTGGTAGGGTGTGGCTCGCGGATGGCGCGGAGCACGGAGCGAGAGAACGCCGAGAGCGGTGAGCGAGGCAGGAGGTAGCGCGAGGTTAGCCGAGTCCCGGGTGCCGTTTTGAGGTTAGTCCGGCCGGCCGAGAGGCGATGTCGCGGGGCGCCGCAAGGTGAACGCTCGGCCCGGACGCGCGCGCGACGCGTCGATACTCGGCGAGCGAAGGACTCGCGACGGGCGACGCCGGGATTGGGACGACGCCGCCATCGGCCTGCGACGACCGGCTCGCGTCGCCGAGCGGCGCACGCCTCCCGGGAGCTTCCCGGCGGCCGGGTTTCCCGACAGTCGTCGAGCTGGCGTCGCGACGCGCGGAACTAGGCGTCACGAGGATCCCCGGTAAGCATCCCCGCAAACGACCGAGGGACCACCCGCCTCCCTCGGCTCGGACGTTAATCTTTGCGTCGACTTAATTATCGAAAAAAAAATCAATAATCGAGAGAGCGGCGGCGCCCCAGACCGCGGGGAAGAACCGCGAGGCAGAGGGGAAGAGTCCACGAGAGAAAGAGAGCCGGAGGACCCATGGCGAGACAGACTGACCGACGACGCGCGCCTTCGCCGACGAGGACCTACGCCGTGACGCCGGAACAACGCGGGAGCCGAGGATTCTGCGATACCCACCGGATGTGTTATTCAAAGTGCCATTCTGCCATCTGCAGCAAATGTTAGCTTATCCGTGTCGGCGTGTTCCAATGCCTGTTTGTTTGGATGTAAGTAGACCTCGGGATTCAAGGCTGGTGGAAATATGTTTGGAAATGCGCGCACGCTAGTGTAAATAGATAAGAGCTATATCGTTACGTAGCTGGCTCGACGTGGCAGAGGATTTTCTTGGATCGGATCGAAAGGGCCAAAGCTGGAAGCTTAGAAAGGAGACGAGGAGGTCGCTTGACGGAGGCTCGAAGAGCGTCACAGTAAAGTGGAAGAAGCGAAGAATTTTGAAGAGCTGCCGTCTGTGGAAAAATGCCCGGAGGAGACGTCACGGAAGAAGGCCAGGTTGGGCCGGAATGGCTCTTCGGGGAGCTGAGATCTCCAGGAGGTGTGGACAAGTTACTCATCTTAGATTGCAGACCAAATTCAGAATTCTCCGAAGCACACGTCCGTGGCTCGGTACCCCTTGCGATTCCTTGCATCATGCTCAGACGACTCGCTGCCGGTAAAGTGGATCTTTTGTCGACGATTCGATGCCTGGAGCTGCGAACCAGGGTGGAGATGTTTCTCTGTGGGGATGAAGAGAGAAGAGGAACTTTTGTTCTCATCGGAGACTCCACCGAACCTCCGGGTCACCAAGGAGAGACCATTCTAGCCCTGAGCCGAAGGCTGCGGAGCAGTGGAGGCAGAGTTGCCACCTTAGTCGGTAAGTACTAATTAATATCCATCAAAATTAGTCCTTACATCCTCCGATCAACTATTTTTTTATTACGCTAATTGGCTATAAGAGCTATGAATCAGGCATAGCCATGCTTTGTTCTCCCAGGAATGCATGTCGAGCTGGAAACTTACATTTTTTTTTTCTCGTCACACAGCTGTAATTCCACTAGCAAGCAATTGTTCCTCTGTACATAGTATACGTGTATTCCCCTGCAGTATGAACTTTTTAATTATCTTTCCTTTCCTACCAAAAGTGGCCAGTTATCCTTTCAGATTGACGTAGACACGTCAGCAAAGTATAGTCCAGGGTGTGACAATGAGTTGAGGAAAATGGCAATGTACATCGCGGCACAACTCGAGGGCACGCTGGGTTCCAATTGACCCCGGAATCGTATCTGGGTCACATCGAGTAGGCGACGAAAATCGGTTTAAATCGCCCGCGCCTTAAGTTTCTTTGAGCAAATGTTAATTCCATTCATGTCCGCTGCAAATTGGCCTGGAAAACTTTTCACTGGCTCGTAAGAATTCTTAGCAGAAGTCCATTCGTCACGTGGCCTTCGAACCATCGGCTGACACAGCGGGGAACTTGTGAATGAAATATTGATTTGTGTGGGTGGCCTTCCTGTACAACCAGACACTTAATTTCCACTCTACCCCTCCTAGAAGACTCGTTTCGCGTGTGCAGGGCGAGTCACCTAACAGTTGCACCAGTGATATTGTTTAAACTATTATACCTAAACAAGTAAATTCCCCGTTAGACATAACGGACGGCTAAATTTTGGAAAACCGTGTTTGTAGCCCCGTGTATTTATTTATTAATTTATATAGCTAATATTTCCGAAAATTAAGTTGCCTATACTTTCCGCTAATTAAACAACATGTCATCCGAGTGGGACAATAATTGTAGGTGTGATAGAGACATTGCAGACCCACAGATTTTGTATCTTATACCGGCAATTCGTTATAGAAAATGTTATATTAAACTATCTTCGCATTACAAGGAACACAGGGGGCATACATTTTAATTTGTTTCAAGATCGTAACTCTTCTGGTGAAGATCCATCTTGTTTCTTTAATTGGATAATCGCATTCTTATTGCTATTACTTTTTATTGAGGATAGACATGTTCACTAAGTAATAGTTTGGACAAGTTAGGACTATATATTGCAACTTATAAGCATTATAACTTTGGGTTAATGTGCGGTAACACAATGAATTTCTCTTAATTTTAGTTGTATTCTTGTAGCGGTGTTCTATTACATGTAACATTTTGTGTAACTTGACAATTTAACACGTTAGCGAATTTAGGGATAAATGGCGATCACGGATATCATTAAACCAATAGATAGATAGACTTCCGGTAGATAACGCATTAAGGAGTACTCTCTTGGAAAGGATGCGTGACTCAATATGTACAGTCATGAGTGCTCTTTATCCTGCTACATGAAACAGTGTACCAATTATTTAAGGGAATACGAAACTCAGTTGCTATTTACATTACTAGTCAGCTAAAAGCCAAACACATTATCGCTCTCAAATTTGATATCACGAGCGTTGATTATTCTGCTATATGAAGCGGTATACTAATTATGTAAGGGAATACAAAACTCAATCATTATTTGCATTACTAGTCAGTTAAAAGCCAAACACATTGTCGCTCTCACGTTTGAAAAGTTGTTGCTAATGTGCAATGTTTATTTTGTCATACTTTTGTTCCATACTTTAAAACATGTATATGGAGACCCTAAAGTATGTCCTAAAACTCGTGAAATTTCATTTTTTTTATAAACAATTTTTTGGAATACTTATAAACAAATTTGAGAAGAATTGAAATTTCATGAGTTTCAGGACTTTCCTTATAGTTTCCCTATTCACGTTGTAACGTTTCAAACTATTCGGTAAACCGAGTTGGGAGGAAAGTTTTATAAACAAAACCTCTTCGATGCCACTTTCACATCACCTTAAGAACGAAAAATAAGGGGAGGTATACCGACAGACGAGGGGAGTATCGCATTTCGTATCACCCTCAGGAGACGGCATTGACTCCTCAAGTTTAAACATTGCGTTTGCAAATGTTGGCTGACTCACCGCGAATATATCCAGCAGAACTGCATTATTCCCACCGCTTGAACCGGCATCCCGGGAAGTGCACGGGTTTCGCAATTACTTTTAGCAGGATAATTAGCCAGCTACAAAGGGGCGAACAAGATATTATTCAGTCTACCTCGCCCCATAAAAGTCCGCCTCCCGGACGACTCTTCCTTTTCGTCCTGGCATGAATTAATGATAAAAAGATGAAATAAAGAAATAAACGGATAAAGAGTATGTCGGAAAGTGGACTATTTTCCTGACATAATTATCCAGTTAAAAGGGATAAAGAAAGTAAACTCGGTCCTTCGAGTTCGCCGAGAAACGGGGGAAATAAATAAATAAATAAACAATGGGGAAACGCGCTCAACGACGTCGCGTGGCGGTGCGTAATCGCGGCGACGCCTGTCGCCCGTCCGTCGGCGTCGGCTTAAACTTTGAACTTGCAAATCGGGGCCGGGGCCGCATAATGACCCGGGGAGATTTGAAATTCCACTCTAAGGGGAAAAAAAAAGCGTGCATTATCCTACGCGGTACGCGCGCACTACCGTGCATTCACTCCTGGGGAACACGCCGAACGGGGTTACGCAACGTGTACGGCCGAGGTGACGATCGCGTGACTTTCTCCTTCACGAAAAGGCTCTTTCTCTCTCTTACTCATGTGTGCACTCGCTGATCTCTCCGTTGTGCGTTGCAGGTGGTTTCGGGGTCTTCAGGGACCGGTACCCGGAGTGGTGCGAGGGCAGCCAAGCCAACGCCGAGGGTCCCCAGGGCCAGGACCCCAACGAGGGGGAACTGATGGGCCTTCGCTCGCTCCGCATCTCCACGCCGCCCTCCAGAGCGTACTCGGACTCCGACAGCGACAGTACTTGCGATTCCGTCGGTAAGGACGCCGCGAAGGAACCGCGGAATGTAAATCTACTGTTAAGATGATACGAAAGGCGCCGAGGAATTTAATCGAGGTCGATAAATTACAATTCATCTACACGCTTTTTGATGGTAACGAAATATTGAATACTCAAGTGGTAACGTAAGCTGGCCGCGTCACGTTGCCGACATTTATATTTATGTTGAAGGCTTTTATAGTGTATGGAGATCGATGTCGGACTGTCGAAATCTCGCGAATTCATTATTCTAACGACTGTTTAGGACCCACGTCGCCATCTGTGACGTTTAGCTGCAACTAAATTTTTCCTCCTAATACAAGTGTTACCCACGAGACGAGACAGCACTGCTCTTGCAATCGTCGGTGAAAGGATTTTCCATATTTTCCTATTTGACTCTGTAATACGGTATTCTAAATTGTTCGAGCTAGGTCCCGAAACTCTTCATTTTTGGTTCTAAACCTCCAGGAAGCGTAAAACATTGGCCGCGCCATGTTGGTTATAGTCCATGGTAAATAAATGAATTTTGGATGAAAAATGAAATTTCATGAGGGTCAGGACCTTCCTCATAGCCTCTGTGATCACGTTGTAAAATTTGAAACGATTCGGCACACTCAGTTCGGTGAAAAGTTTCATGATTGACTCTTCAGGTGCCACTTTCACATCCCCTTAACTCCGCGCCCATTCGAAAACTTACTTTCTACGTACTGTTAATTTAATTTACTATCTTGTTTTTCTTATGTTTTTGTAATGTGCGAGACTGGTGTCTCCAATGTCGGTGCGTGGCACGTGTGACGTTTGTGGTGGACGCGTTAATTACCTTTGAATTAGGTTTAAATGATATGTTAAGGGGGTTTGTGTGAGGCTGTTTTACTGGATGAGCTCACCGATGTTTTAGTTTCGGGTAATGTTTTTCGTTTCTGATGTAAGGAGGGGATTGGAACTTGGCACGTGAATATGTAGACCGGAGGGTGGCCACTTGTTGATTGGAATTAGTTACATTCGGTTGGAAGGGACTCGAGCAGGATGTTACTATTTCCGCTTGATGTCTGGAAATAGGATTTGTTTGTTGTAGAGTTTTGGCTTATCCAATGGTTTATCCCTAGACTCGATAGATATAATTCAGATATATACGCGTTTTTCGGAAAATATTTTGTAAGGAGTCCGACATTTGGAAAGAAACTACGCGTTTAAAAGTCAATTTCCGATCCCCTTACATACTTATTGCGATGTTTTCAGATGATGCGTTTGTTGATATTTCGAGTTTCGATGATGATACATATTTAATTAGATTGTAGAAATGAATTCGTATGTTAAAATTTATGGCGTTTATCCTTTATGAATTCGTGGCAAATATCATCTTTTATAGGCATGTAATGATATTGAAAGGGTTTTCGAAGCTCTTACATGAAAAAGGAAAACTTTGACATTGACTATTGCCTACATTTTGTGGAGGTAGTTATAACTAATTTATCAGTGTTTGTACCGACAGCGTTTATTAACTTGAATTAGATATATAAAATTGTAATCGTAGCGTTGGTTGACCATTTTTGCATGTTTTTAGTATTATGCACGGATCTTCTCCCCCCTGGAAACAAGGGGGGAAATTAGTGTAGGCTGAATGGAGACAATTATTTAGTATCTTTGAAATAATTGTTGCAGGTCCTGATGAGGATAAGGACTTCCCAGTGGAGATTCTTCCGCATTTATACCTCGGCAACGCAGCCAATAGCGAAGACAGGGAAGCTCTGGCTCGCCATAGGATACAATACATTCTTAACGTTACGCCGGATCTGCCGAATGTATTCGAAAGCGCTGGTTCTATAAAATACATGCAAATACCGATCAGTGACCACTGGAGCCAAAACCTGGCGAGTTTCTTTCCGCAAGCGATTCAATTTATTGGTAGGTATTCTATTTAATTTATTGCACTCCTCACAGATGGAGTTAACTATCTGAGTTGAAATAACGTTTTTTACGCATAATTGCTACTTTAGAGTGGGCACATAGTCGTAGATTCGACTCTAACTCTCAAGCGTTTATGGATGAAATATTAATACATATGTGGATTATTGTTATTAAAATATGCTTGTTAACCTACAAGGTTTACGTAAATATTACAGTAGGGACTGTTTTGGATAATCGTCATATGAAAAAAAAATAGATCACTGGTTTTTGTGACGTTAGATATCACTTTGAGAACAATAATCACGTACTGGATACGTGAATGTACTTGTTCATGATTTCCTAAAATCTAGAACATTACGGTTGTAAATATTTCATCCTATTTGTCGTATACCAACGAGTATATTTTGTTCGACATAATATTACATCATTGTTTTCCAATTTTGTTACAATTGAACTTATTAAATAAAAAAATGATTGTAATTGATCATATTCTCTGATATTCGTAATCTGATGAGAAGGGAAAAAGTTCTATTGTTCTGCAAAGAATTTCACTTAGAAACGGACACTTTGAAAAGAAAAGTTAGTCGTTCCAGAACTTCTTACTACATCGAGTCGATATAGTAAGAAAAAAAAGAAACTAGGTGTCACCTCGTTTTACCGGATCTGGGGAAAAAAAGGTTCATTCATCGATTTGTGAAACGATTTCCTGGCCTCGAGGAAGGTCGCTCCTTAAATGAAGTCGTTCGTGCCGTCGTGAAATTGTGGTTTCATTACATTCATGAATTTATTTCGTACACCATGAATGAGCAGGAAAGAGAAGTCAATATTTCGGGAATGCTTTACTGCGCATAGTTTAAATAAACTATAAATAGTCCAGATAACTGATCGTTTTACCGTATGCCGAAACAGGACATCGATTTATCGACGTTAATGATTACATTCGTGAATTTATTCCGCAATATCTGGTAAAACGGGGGAAAAAAAAAGTTCATACTGCGAAGTGCATTACTACCTCGAGTAGGAATAACGAAAAAAGAAACGTTATTTACCGGATAAGGTAAACAAAAAATCTAGTTTTAAGCAAATCTCGTTTAGCCTCGTCGCGAGCGTTCCCCACTTCCATAAATTCGTGAATCCATTTAGCAGTTTTCATAAAAACAGGGCACAACGCCTGAACGGTTTCGTCGTTTCCCATGAATGACAATAGGACATGCAAAGCATATTCCGGCTCTACAGAAAGGCTCCCTCGGGCTTGTAGAAGGGAAAGGGTGAACCGGCGAGAAGGAAGGCCTTGGGAACGGAATCCTGACCTACGACACTAATTTGCGTCCCCGTCGACTCGGCTCAATTTATTATCGCGGCCATTACTCTGGCTAGCTGGCTCCGCCGTCGAATTCTGGGATTCGACCACTCCTTAAACAGGATTTCCTGTTTAAGAAAGCTCGCGGCCCGGTCTAAAAGGGGCATTGCTTGTAAATAGAGACTTTCCCACGTGGCGGGTACGCGCCGTGTGCTAGACAATTAAACAACGGACGTCCGGTCGTGTCGGATCTCCTCTCTGTACTTAAGTGCGCGCATATGTACCGGGCTTCGCGTATTGTCCCGAATGCTGTTATGTACCTTCCGGCCCCGCACGTTTTCCGCAATTGAATTTCATGCCGGAATTCCCGGTAATCGGGCAACACGGTGCCCTTTCGCGCATCGCGTGCACTGAATAATTGGCAGTTGCGCGGCAGACTGTTGAAGGGGCGTACTTCGTATCGAGTCGTTTTCCAAGACGCAAAGTAGAATGTAAATTGGCTCGTCTTACGATACCTTGACAGGGTGGAAATAAAAATAGACCTGGTATCGAGTATTCGAAAGATCGTACGAAAGAGCGTTGTCGCTTGGAATCGAGGTATCGCCCGTGATAGGTCTTACGGTGCACACTTAGAGCTGTAAGTTGCGTTTACATCTAAGCACTTCTAAACGTATTGACAATCATTTTTGAAATAGGATACGAAGATTGACTTTTGCCTCGCTCGATTTTTCAGAAGAGGCGAGGAGCTCGGACAAGGGCGTCCTGGTGCATTGCCTAGCCGGCGTGTCCAGGTCGGTAACCATCACCGTGGCGTACCTGATGCACAAGTGCAGCCTGAGCCTGAACGACGCCTTCAACCTGGTGCGCAGCCGGAAGTCGAACGTCGCGCCGAACTTCCACTTCATGGAGCAGCTGCACAGCTTCGAGCGGGAGCTCAGGGACCGAGGGTCCGGGGCGAAGGGGTCCGAACACCAGCGGTGCATCGGGGCCTGTCGACCCGGGGGGCCTTGCAACTGCCCGGCCCCGAGCTTCCTCAGCCCCATCGACCTGGGCCTCAGTCCCGACTCGGGGATCGAGTTCGACCGATGGGCCGCCACCACGCCGGCCGAATGAGACGGGCCCGGGGGGACCCGATACAATTTTTAGGTCCCTCCGTATTGTCGACGTGAGACATCTAGAGGCCCCGAGTTCGGAGGGCCGAGGAAGTAACCGAGGAGGTCGATGATATCGGGATCGGTTGAGCCTCGAGGGTGCGCCTCTATTCGCGGAGACCTAACGAGGCGAATCCGAGAGATTTCGATACTAATTCTAGGTTCCTTCGTGCTATTCGCACGGGAGAGAGAGAAGCATCGAGGTCGAAGAGATTGGCTACGTTGAGCCTGGTCGCACTTAATGTCGGCTTGGAGGGACTCGATGGATATTCTGTCTTTCCGTCTTGTCAAGGAGGTGGGCAGGAGGTCTAGATTCTATGATAGGAGTCCGATGATCTTGGAATCTGTCGGGCCCGTCGCTTCTCTTACGTCGGCCGTATGAAGCGGACCCGGAGAGACCCGATAATTGTTCAAGGTCTTTCCGTGATATCGACGTGAGACGCCGAGAGAGGCCTCGACTCGAAGGTGCAGAGAAGCGGCTGAAGACGCAGCCGAGGTTTGGCACTCCAAAGGCCGGCTAGGCGTTGGTTTCTTTAGTCACCGAGTACCTACATTCGGGAGGAGATAGACTAGGATTAGGATCGAGGAGAAGAAACGGGAGAGAAGGAAAGAGAAGGGTAGGGGGACGAAGAACGACGTCGATGGGACGTTCTTCGAAGCATGCCGTACAAATTGCTACCATAGGCTTAGAAACCGGCGTGGGCAACCGGATCGGTTTTGTTTTACGTTAATTAATCGTCGGCTTGACAAACTCGACCAAGTCGTTTTGGCGATGAGTTTAAGGGGATGTGAAGCGTCCGAGCGGTCGATCGTGTAACTTTTCTCCGAAGTTGGTGTACCGAATCGTTTCACACTTTGCGACGTGAATATGGAGGCTATAAGGAAGGTCCTGACACTCATGAAAATTTGTTTTTTATAAACAATTTTAAAAATACCTGTAAACAAATTTTGAAAAAATTGAAATTTCGTGAGTTCTAGGACCTTCTTTATGGCTTCCATATTCACGTTGTCAAGGTTCAAATGATTCGGTACACTCAGTTAGGAGAAAGGTTTCATAAACGCCACTTTCACATCACCCTAATACCTAATCGACGTTTGGTGAAATCGTTAAAGGGAAGTCACGTTTGGACAAAACGTTGACAGTGATTTTTAGTCTTGCGCTACTGTCCAAGTCACTCGAGTCATCGCATCGTTTTTCGGGGGGGTTTTTGGGTTGCCCACGCTGTACCATAGGAGATATTCGGAAATTACTTAAATATTCTTTTGCGCGCCCGGCTGGGGAGCTCTTTCGAGTTTCCGTCAATCGGCAAAAGGTGTTTCGATACCGCAACGGGCTTTCGTCTAGGATATACCTGATAGAGCCTCGAGACCCTGTCCGCGATCTTCGACAATGAATGCGACGTCTTCCTGCGCCGCGACAGCGCCGTCAATGAAAGTATTTTGTAAATAGGGTCGGACATTCTCCGATCGCTACTTTTCTCGCGTTAAGACGGATCGCTAATCGTTTAGCCGTAGTAAGGTATGACTAAATCCGAAATTCTCCCGAGACCCCGGGTTAGAAATTTCTCCGTATACGGAGCCCACCTCTTGTGCAGTGGCATCCGGAGGGCCGATCGCGTAATCCTTGACCATAGACACGTAATCTCGGAGATATTCGAGTTATCGACGTTCATTCGTCCTCGTCGACGCGTCGCGTTCGCGGCTTCCTTGACTTGCCGTGCATACGGATGTAAACTAAATTATATATCGCTAATTCATCCCAACGAAAATGACCCAGCATACAAGGCTACGGATTTACCATGGGCCTCTTTGAGGCCCTCGCTTCCAGGCTATCGAGCTGGAGAGGAAGTCATTTTTCAAATTTCAACTTAACGAGAGTTCAATTTTTCACGGACGCACCGTGTTTCAACTGCAAATACATGCCACGGATAATTTGACAGGATGCCAGATTTACTGGGCATTCCACCTCGCAGAATTGCGCGAAATGAACAATCCTTGACGTGCTCGACCAAGTCGTACATTGCACGTTTCTACCGGGAAAGTGTTACCGGCATTCTAGGCGTTAGTTTTATCACGGGCACCTTCGAGGGCCGTCCATTCGTTGCCATTGTTTAATTTAATTCTTCACGAGACTTCGGTGTTTTCTTTTTTTTCTTCTCCAGACACGGTGCGTTCGATAATACTGGAATTGCAAATACGGGACATTAACTAGATTTTAACCAGAGATAGCTGCTGGGCATTCTACCGTGCAAAGCTGTGCTCTGGATGGACAATCCTAGATGTAGTCGTTTACTCTCTGTTCACTTAACGTGCACGCGGACAAATTGTTAATTGTAAATTGTCAATTTCTCACGGGATACGTGGACCGGTGTTCTGGGCAACCAGCTTCGCCGAGGCATCCTTAAGGTCCCCCCTTTGTCGGCACCCTTATGTTCATCTTCACCAGAGTCGTTAATTAAGCCGGACACGCCTTGTCTAGTCTTAAAATGGTTAAAAATGTGCCACGAACGAAATTCTAGCCAGAGATGGCTTCTGGGTCTTTGACTCCTACGAAGCTGTAATCTCGATGACTCTGGTTAGCAAGGGCGTACACGGTGCATCCGTTATCTCGGGTAAGAACTGCGTCGAAATATATATATATAATTAATTAATTAAAAAATAGAAAAACAGACATACCCGGGAAACGGTGCACGTTTTATAGGGCATTCCTATAGAGCTTCCGACTTTCGGGAGGTAAGCGTCAAGTTGACGGAGAAACGGGGAAAGGATATTAAAAAGCAAAGAAACGAGATCTAGAACTCGTCGACGTTTCGACGACGAATCGGCTCGATTGGTTTTCTTCAGACCTTTGTATCCATCCGACATAATTTTATACAAAATGTACTTCAACGCGACATCTCTTTTTAATCAAAACGATTAGTATATACTTCTGCTTGACTGGGAGCCTACTCGTTAATTAACTAAAGTCCTGAGAACGATGGATAAAGAAGTGAAGGATACCCTTTTCTGATATTTTTCAGGAATTCTACGTCGAGTTAAGATTTCTCAGATTATTCGTAATTAACCATTCAAGTATTTATCGTACGCAGGTATTTGCCGATTGGAAGACAGTGACGAATGTATGTTTATTTTTTTATTCTTTTTTTTTTTGGTTCCCTCGGACGTTTTGGATGAAACTGTTTGGAGTCGGTATCCAGGTCTGATTTCCTCGTCACGTGACGAATTTTCGAAATTTCGAAGACGATGGTACCTGTGACGCGTTTAGGCTCTGGCTGGCGCGAGCGCGCGTCGCCTTTTTTTTGTTTTTCTTTTTTTTCCCCTTTAGTACATTAAGCTAACTTGTATGAAAAGTCGCGTCTCGATTCCGTGCATTTACAATACGCCAAATGCAGAACGCCTCCTCCGAAATTAGGGAAAAACGGTCGAATATGTACACAGACGGACTGTATCAAATCCGGTCAGGTTTTGTATCCTCGAGCGTAGAAAATCCGGGCACCGCTTCTATATATATACATATATATATATCGTCGTTTACGGATCTCAAATGCGTATATTAAAAGTTATTTTTATAATAAACAAGAAGGAATATGGTGTAATAACGAGTCGCGCGCAATCACATTCCCGTCACGTCAGCCGTAATGGCCTGAAAAACCATAACTATCTCAGTAATTCATTATGTGTACTGTTCTCACCGAGCATTAACGAAGGATCAGTATATGTGTAATACACAATCTATGTACACGCGCAAACACGCATACATGACACGCTCACCCCACGCACACACACGTACACATACACACATAAACCGTGGATGTTATTTTTCATGTAACGGATTAAACGAAGTTAAGGATAACCAGCTCTCGGCAGTACCGAGACCGCATTGACGTACATTCGTAAGGAAATATATATTTGACGTTACAGTAATAACGATATTCTACTGCTACACTGTTGTCTGTTGTATGTTTATTGGACTCGAGCTGTCCGAGAAATCGAATCAAATATTATGTATATTACATAAATTATTATTTTATATCTATCGTTGTATATATTTTAACTAATTTTGATTAGAAATACAACTTATCCTTACTTGAGACGGGTGTTAATTGAGTGGAAATGGGCCCTGCTTCTTTTTTTTTTCATTTTTTTTAAAGCGCTATTTAGATTCTACATCTCTATGAGATCTGTGTTTGCGTTTGTGCATGTGGGTGCGTCTTTTTATAACCGGACGCGGTTGTGTTTGAAAGTAGCTTGCAAGATTTTATGGAAAAATAACGCTTCTTATTGTTTTCATATCCGATTCGGTACCGCGATCTGTGCATTTATTCGAAATCAAATATTTAAGGTGAAGTGAAACGCGTCGAGGAACTTGATCGACGTCGATAAAGAATATTTTTTTAAATGCCTACATTGCCGACATTCGTTTTTATATTGACAGCTGTGTCGAATTATATTGGGTATTGTACCAAATGGCATACTCCACCTGTCGTGATCACACAATAATTACAAAGAAATCGAAGTAAAACTCCAGAAATCCTCTGGATTCATGCTTTCTGGGGCCCTAATTGATTGAAGAGGGACCCCCTGCGCCATCTGTGATTTCCAGGTCAATTAAATTTTCACTCCGGGACCTCTTATTCCCATCGTTTTGGCATAGAAGCGCATAAAACACTTTTTTTGCCTTTATCCCGTTCAAATGCGAGTTTAACGATTACCAGAGTGTTCTAAATTGTCGTAAAATTGTCCTGACCCTTTCGATTCTCATATCAGAGTCCTCGATAATTGTTCGAAACATCAGAGCTCAACGCCATTTGGGTTCTGGTCTGGGCTGAGTTAAAAAATGTTTTTAAAAAATCCAACTTTTGAATGTGTCAGGACAATTCTTAGATGATTTGGAGTGATGTGTCAAAGTTTCGGACTGTTTGGTCTAATACCCTTAAAGAAAAGTGTTGTATTCGAATCGACTGATTTGAAGGGGGTTTCACTTCACCTTAAACTAATGCTCCTTTTGAACGAATGTACTTTATTTTAAGAAAGAAGTATGCTAAAATAATCGAGCCACGTTCGAAGGGGGGATTTATTTCATTTATGTTTTATTTCCAAAAGTACAATGGTTTAGGATCCAAATTGTTTCTGTTTCAAGGCTTCGTTAAAGCCAAATGCAGTACTGTATTACTTTTATGCCGATATTGTGGTACGATTTGAGGAAACCGATAAATGACATTGTCGGTACTGGTGTACGGACAATGCTGCTTATTGACGTTATGCTTGGGATTTGATCGTGTAACTGGTACATTACGCTTTTAATATTATTTAAATTCAAAGTGAAAGTAAAAGCGAACTTGCAGTAATGTACGAATTTACACTTTCCCTTTTCGATGTTCAATTGAGGTTCGAAGTGATCGGTAATCTCGACAATGCCACCATTAAAGTATTATACTGCCACTTAGTGGTCGACGCCTCTTGCTTCTAAATATTCCCAGTGGATATTTGGCTACGATTTTTACGATTTCGAGATGTCCATGACATCGTGAGTATACGTATAAAATATGTCAATTGGTTCACACTTGTAACGATATCTCGTACGATTGCAACAGAATGATAAGCATCTTGCCAGGTCAATTTTCGAATAGTAAAATCTCGTTTTCTAGTTTATGATCCATCATAAATTAACCAGCTGACACATCTCACGACTATTTAGTCCCACCGTATTGCGATGTTCGTTAATAAATATTCATTTCGCAGAATACCCGCAGGGAATTTCACGGAACGTTCTCACCGCTGACGTCCCAATTCAATATGGCCAATTGTTCTTTTATTAGGCTCTTAACTCGGCGTAAAAATTGTGAATTGGGTAACAAAATCCTCGTAGCTTAAGAAACTGCGTTATCACGTGTACAACGTTACTTGATCTTATGTCTGTAAAGTCTGTATAACGTGACTCCTTGGATATGGAACCCGCTCTTTGTTTTTAGATAATCAAGTCGATTATTTGTTTCGAACAGTTCGCCAGCTTGTTCTGGGCGCCGAGGTCGACGGTGCTCTCGGACATGGTTCTGAGCACACCGAGGGCAGTTTCAGATTGGCGTACTGCCCGAATCAGTTCATTTCTGTCATCGGGGTCTGGAGTGGCAGCTAACACAGTGCCCAGTCCTACCAAAGCTCTAAACACGGCTTCTGGTTCTTGCAGGAGAGGAAGGACCGTGAACATGACGTTCAAAACCCTTGTTCGGCCGGGAGTATCGTCGCGCTTGTTTAGGGCCACTATCAAGTTCAACATGTACGTAGCTATTGCGACCTGAAAGTGAAGGATATTTAGAATTAAATGTTAAATAGCAATGATATTTTATAATGGACTCGTAGAGAGATCTAAACTCTACAAGAATTGGTATTCAAATTCTGCTCACGAAATTCGAATTTGTATATGATTAGTATGTCGATATCAGGTACCGTAATACATGAAGATCATAGGTGCTACTACGGTATGTAAAAAAATAAAATAAGGGATGTCAATTAAGGAGCATATCGCTAATACTAAGTCCCCTTTGTAATGTACGCTTTTGTTGCATTTCTTATTTTTGTTTAAGATAGTTAGGAGTGGAGTAAGTAGATACAAAAATATAAAGAAAAACTACCTGATTATTTTTCGAGCCCATCGAAGGGAGCTCCAGTAGAGCCTTTAGCAATTCGTCTCTGTAACGGAGGGCTAGATTCTCACCCTTTTCGTGCAGAAACATATTGGCTAGCAATCGAAAGGTGAGCATCTGGTTGGAAGGTATTGCAGTCGGCTTAATATGTCGTCTTACAACTTGTAGCAGCTCGTCCGAGCATAATTCGCTATTGGCTTGTCGTTGCAGCACGGCCAGCCGTGCTATATCCAGGGCAGGGAAAACGATCTCATCTGGCCAGTCCAGCAATGTACGTAACACGCTAATGGCACCGATCTCGAACTGCGTCTCAGAGTGTTCGTTGGCAAGTTTTATAACCGATTCTAACTTTTCTCCAGAAATTCTATGCACCGCGTCATGACGTTTCGCATTCAATTCTTGGAGCTTCCCTAGAAAAGGACTTTATATTAGGTATTTTCAGTGATGCAAGTATATACCTTTCCGATACCAATTAAAGAAATTGAACCAATTCTAATAAGCATCGGTCAATATTCAAAATAATGATGAAATGGAGCATTTGTCTCCTTGACATTTATAATTTAAAATGTATAAAATTTACTGTTCGATGAGTAAGTCGGAATGGTAAATGGCTATAAAAGATTTTACAATGTTGATGCTCTTGAGCATGATTATTACCAAGAATTGCTGGAGGGTTAGCTTGTTCTATTTTCAAATAACTTTTATGTGGTATATAGGATGGAGAAGCAGATGTTTTCGAGTTGTCTGTAAAATCATTCATTGGTTTCGCATTTGAAGAATTTGACGTTTCTGCTGTGGGAACGTAACGGCTTCCCCCTGTGAAGGGGTCCATGTATTGCGATTGTGTAACTAATTGTGGCACAGACTGCGAATTTTTAATGATAAATTTAGCCACCTGTGAAATTATAATTAAAGTCAATTTTAAAAGAAGTGACATCAGAACGGAACAAGAATGCATGTAAAGAATAAGGATTATCTAGGTATCTTTTGGAACATGTAAACGCACGCAAGTATTAGTTCTTCCAATCAATATACCTGATCTAAAAATAATTGACTCAGTTCATTATCATGAATGAACTTTTGTGCAACGTGCCAAGGGTCTTCTCCTCTATTGTATGGTAGCTTTAAAGGTGGAACTCCATCTTGTATGTCAACTGAGAATACGTAATCATATTCTACACCATTATAAAGTTGTTTTCCAGATGTAGCATTGGTATCACCCGAAACTCCCATTACATCTCCTTGCAAAGTCCACTTTTTTTCACTTTGGGACCATGCGTATAATTTAATCGTACTTCCCTCTTTTACCATTTTTGTCTGTCCATCTTTTGTGCCTGGCTTCCCCAGAACACTCTTGTCTGGCAAACTACAAATATGTAAAATTGTATTTATATTGAATCAGACAATTAATTTATAAGTATAAGTACTCACTCACTAATCTTTATACCACCTATTCGTAATTGCATTTGCCTCTCAAGGTCAGCAACTGCTTTCTCAAAAGTTTCAAGTGTCTGTGAATCGGCAAACCGCTCAGGATTGGCTGAAAATATCCTGACAGTCCCATCCGATGCTCCAGCTGCTATATCACCATTTGATAATAATTTGACACACCACACCGACTCCGATGGAAATCTAATAGTTTCTTCCATATTTCCGTTAATCCATACCCTTACAGATCGATCTTCACCTGATGTAACTACTTTCGTTCCATTTAATGATGACGATATACTGTAAATATAGTTCTCATGACCATAATAAGTTTTTAAACAAGTTCCCAGAGTGGCGTTCCAATGACATACGGTGGCATCGTTGGAACAGGTTAAAAATTGATTATCACTTATAACTGATATTCCCCGAACGCAGTCTTTATGACCTGGGAGTTTGTGTACTATACATCCATCCTTCGACCATACTATAACAAACTTATCGGCAGATCCTGTGACGATATAGCCATTCCGGAGATCAGCTACACACCATACTGCAGCCGTGTGACCCTTCACAGTTAACACCGGCTTTTCGAGTTGATCGACTTTCCATAATTTAGCCGACAAGTCCCAAGAACTTGACAGAAAAGTACCTTCTTCTTGCCCAGCTTTTAGACTACAAACTGTGCTGTCATGTGCATTTATAGTATGTACTGGCTCCTCATGACCAGGTATATAAACGCATATATTGTTGTCATTGCTGCCAGTTATTATAAATCCATTTGTATAGCGTTCGGAAGGATTTATTACACATACAGAACTGATGAAATGTGAATGACCTCGTAAAATTTGAGTCACGGTATACTGCTTTCCATCTCTGTGTAATATATATATAATCCATTAGATAAATGAAAAATATTATATCGTGCCATTATAAATGCATCGTAATGTTTTTATATGTTAATGTAGCTTTTACCAATGTAGTTGTTAATTTTTTAACGAAGGTACGAACAACTAATGTTTCTTTTGTAACTTGTTACCGATTAGCGTACATTGTGAATAAATGCTGTTAGAAACAAACGATACCATAAAAAACTTATCAATAATAAGACAATCGGTTGCAAGAAGCTCTATATGTGGAACTTATATATATTTAAGCATACAATACAATCAAATAATAATAATATTAAATTTATATACACGGAAAATGCCCTAATACACCTGGAAACTCATTAATCCCATGACAGTGCTTGAATACATTTTCCATTTCTGGAGGTATTACAGAACCTAACCAAAAAGGAGGTCTTGGAAATCCTAGATGTTTAGAAATAAGCTTATTTAACCGATTGCTGACAAGTGTTACAGTGTGTGGTAAACTTGTGAATGGTACAAATTATTTACCCGCTTGGTTTCCACACACGAGCGGTTCGGTCCCTGGACGTTGAAACCACTGTCCCGTCTTTAAATGCCGCCAAGGCTCTAACGTCCAACGAGTGACCATAAAGTGTGCAACATAATTTATAAGACGTTTCAGCCATAATGTTTTAACAAATTACCAATCCCTTGTACACTGTCCGGTTGAAAATGCAAAGCTCACGTTACAGAACAACATGAAGCTGCAAATGGCAATAACCACGGATAATGGTGAACGGAGAAGGGCAGTTGGGGTCCATGCGATTTATTTCGCAGAAATTGTCGAGCCGCCTCTACCTAGTGGCAGCATACCGAAACAGTTCTACTCCAGAGATGAGTTGGGAGATTGCTCACGGGCAGGGTCGCG